CCTGCACCTTCCTGACCCTCAGGGCCCAGCTCCTGTGCTGCCTTCGGGGAAGCCTGGACCACAGTGCCTGAGAGTGAGATCAGACTGCACGCAGCGCAGTTCGTCATGATCAGGAAAACGGGGGTGTTCCCCACCAGTGTAGACCGAAACGAAGCAACACCCACAGGAAAGCCAGTCTGCTCATTCGACTAAGATTGCTCCTGAGAATGAGAGTCAGCCGGAAAAACCACTTCCGAGGGTGAAAGACACAATTGCATGATCAGGAAACGTGAGAGGAAGGCCATGAAATCACTTATTTTGACTTCACTTTAGATCAAATCTCCATTGTAAATTTTTGAGCCAACTCCCCTCGGCGGATGCTCCTGCCCTGAACCCACCGGCGACTCGGCCCGCTCTGCTCTGGACAGGTGCATCTCCCTGCGCCTCTGTCTTTCGCCTGCATCTCCTCTCTGCGAAGGTCAGGCCAATGGCCTTTTGCCTTGCCACACCGAGGGCCTACGAGCCTGAATCACAAATGCAGCTGGCGCCGCAGCTAAAGCAAGCAAGGGGCTGTGCTGGCTCTTTCCCCTCTCACTTAGCAGGAGGGGCCCTGAGGACTGACAGAGGTCACGAACCCAGCGCTGCTGTTTGAGTAAAGGTTGGGGTCACCCTCTCCCCGGATGAGATCACGAACCCAGCGCTGCTGTTTGAGTAAAGGCTGGGGTCACCCTCTCCCCAGATGAGATCACGAACCTGTTGGAGATCACCAAATCCAGCGCTGCTGTTTGTGAGTAAAGGCTCCAAGTCACCTCTTCCCAGGATAAAGGATCACCAGACCCAGGTGCTGTTGTTTTGAGTAAAGGCTGGGGTCACCCTCTCCCAACGGATGAGATCACGAACCCAGTGCTGTTGTTTGAGTAAGGGCTGGAATTCTCTTTCTACCTGGATGAGATCACTGAATCCACAGCTGCCTCTGTTAGTGATAGAGCTGGGGTCACCCTCCTCCAGCTGATGGAGATCACGAGGCCCATGCCTTGCTGGCTAGGCATTAAAGGCGCTGAAATTCCACCCTCTCTGATGAGGATCTCAGAACTGAGCGCTGCTATTTTACTGACTCAGGCGGCGTGCCTGAAAAACAGAATTTTGCCATTTTCTGCAGATGAGATCCCAGGCCAGTGCTGCTGTTGGAGTAAATACAATTTCCTCTCCCCTTTGAGTAAAGGCTGGGGTCACCCTCTCCCCAGATGAGATCACGAACCCAGTGCTGCTGTTGGAGTAAAGGCTCCAGTCACCCTCTCCCCTGACGGAGATCACAAACCCAGCACTGCTGTTTGAGTAAAGGCTGGGGTCACCCTCTCCCCATGATGGAGATCACGAACCCAGTGACACTCTTCAAGTAAAGGCTCAGGGCATCCTCTCCCCACACTGGGAAGCCCATTCAAGACCAGTGCTGCGGGGCCCTAGATAAGCAAAACCACATGGCTAGTAAGTCAAAGCTTACCAATATCACTCAGTACAGATTAGCCGAAAAGGTCTTCTTGTAGGAAAAGAAAACCACCTACATCCTTCGTTCCCACCTCGCAGATGCCGGGAACACAGAGATGCAGTCTCTACCTCCCCAGGGACCCTGTGAGGCACGGGGCAGAGCGTGCAAGTCCACCCCCACACCACACAATGTGCCCCACCAGGTGGGAACACGCTGGACAGATGCATGTGAGTGGCCGGCCACCCGGGCATCCCAAGGAAGTCATCCTGAAGGATGTGTGGGAGCCACAGGGGCTAAGAGAGATATAGCTCAAGCAGAGGGAAGAATTCCTGCAAGGCTCAGACACGGGAGCCATGGTGGGGCCCAGACACGGGAGCCACAGCAGGACCTGACAAGAGAGCCACAGCTGGGCCTGACATGGGAGCCACCGTGGGTCTTGGACACAGGAACTACAGCGGGGCCGGACGCGGGAGCCACAGTGGGTCCTGGACACAGGAGTCATGGTGGGGCATGGACAAGGGACCCATGGCAGGGCCCAAGAGACACACCACGGCCCCGACACAGGAACCACAGCTCAATGCAAGTGTGTGGTTCTCCAACCTCACAAGAGGACCTGGGAGGATGTCAGGGGGCTGGGGAGGCTGGAGAGACAGAGTAACCCTGTTATTTAAAACACCAACTAGAGTGTGATCAGAGATGCCAGGGCAAGATAAAGTGAGGTGAACTTGTCCAAGAAGAAGGTGTGGTTTTTAAAAAGGTCTAGTTTAAGAAGATCTGGTGTAGGAAGGTGTGGTTTAAGAAGGTGCAGTTTAAGGTGTGGTTAGGAAGGTGTGGTTTTGTGCCTCTTTTTAGAATTTCTGCTACACAGGATGCGATAGTCCCAGGAGGAAAGCTACCAATGAAAGAATCTTCAAAAGCCAAAACGGTGACCCAGTCCTCACTATGTAGCCGTTTAAGCCAGACCTTGATCTCCTGTGCCATATAATAAAATGATGCCCTCCAAAGATTCAGTGGTCATTTGCCGCCAAACACCTGCTAAGTGTCCTACATAAGATGTGAATAAGTATTTGGTGACACATACACGGCTCACCCCAAATAAGTGAATTTTGTGTGAAAATATTACCAGCTTTACATGGAAAATAAAGAACCTTCATTGGCAAAACCTTAGAAAAGCAACTTCAAAAGAAAACAGTACCTTTTAAGAAGAAAATATGTCAGCCTATATGGGACTTGAAGGATGTTTCTACTCAGATGTTGCCATGTTATTTTGGAAATAGGTTTCTCCTCTCTACCAGGAACAGCCTCTATCCTGGAGCTATTTTAAGACCTACTTGTTTTTTCCTAATAAGGATAATTATCTCCAAATAATCAAAATAATTAAGCGGTCACGAACAGCGCACTCCCAAACATCACAGCAACAGCACAAGCTGACCTTTTCACAGTCTGCGTCACACGGCTTCGGTGCCTCAGCAACCTGGTTTTCGTTTGAAGTGCAGGCCAGGAAATGCCGTCTTCGTCGTGAGCATCTAACCATCCTTCTCCTCCCGTCTTAGCAGAGAGGAGCATGGTTTCTGTAGCCCTGACGTGCCCATCCTCACAGTGTGGGATGCTCTCTCTCCAAACGGCACATCTGACACTCAGAGAAGACAATGACATCATTCCATGTTTCTCAATATCAGGGACCAGTTGTTCTCACTGGACAAACGGCTGTGTCATATCTTTACATCAATAATCCGGGTCTGGAGTGTAACAGATTTGATTCCACCGTGAAAAGGTCTTCCTACCACGTGCACTCCTGAGAGGCAGCAGAAGCCACCCTCTGTCATGGTCCCTTTTACCAATGAGAAGCACAACGTGACTTCCATAAATTGCACTCGTACCACATGTGTGAAGACCACAGTGCAGCTTGGCTTAGAAATCATGCAACTTTGTGTTATAGAAAAAAAAAAAATAAGAGTCTTGGACCATTCAAGAAGTAGCCTAGGGGCAAGAGACAGACTGAAGTTTATGTGACAAGGTCAAGACCAACCAAAACCAGCAAATGTTTTTTGAGGGCTTTCCATGCAGCAAGCACGTGAGAAGTTCATTACGTCCTTTAAGGAAACATCTTGCCCACCAATATTAAAATCGGACTTCAGAGACAAGAGATTACACTAGATAAGGGAGGAGGAGCGCTCCCTCCTGACAGGGCCATCAGCGGGATGGAATTCAGCCAGCAGCTGAGCACAGCCTGCAGACACGGTGTCAAAGGCAAAACGCCCTCCACTAGGCGTGTGCGTGCACGGGTGTCGCGTTCACACCGTCATGATCTCTTCCCCCGCCCTCACCTGCAAGATCCAGAAAGAAGCTGATTGGTTCAACAGAAAGCAAGCTGATTGCTCACACAAGGACCATACTCTTATTGAAAAAAAAAAAAAAAAAAAAAATAGTAGAACCAACAGATTCCTCAAACCTGCCTCACAAGGAAGACACTGGGGAGGTACACGGCTGGGACACCATGAAGAACTAAGGCAAAGACAGCTCTGAACAAGCCAAGTCAGTCAACAGCGCGGTGTTTACCAAGAGCTGGCGGAACAGCCATGCTGCGTGTCCCCGGAACCATGTTCCGCCCTCTGCTTCCCCGTGTCATGCATTTTCGTTACTAATGTTGTGGAATCGCTACGAACACGTAGCAATGAAAAATGTATACACTGTGGATATTCTGCTCTCCTCTGTCCTCATTTACAAACCGAACATCTTTACTTTTTACAATTTAAAACCCTTTCTATCAATGACGGTACAAATAGTACAGGAACCAAAAAAGTTTACTAATCAGGAATTCATCCAGTTTCTGCGAGAGACCAAGATCAAGCACACACTCTAAACAAAGTACACGGTAGTGTGATTTTCATGTCTCTGAGACGTTGGTTAAACATACATGATCTGGAGATATTTAGAGAAAAAAAAAGGTCAAAATGAAACAAACAGCAAGTAGCTCTGAAGCTTCTCAATGATATCACATTCACCCCATGATGTCTTTTTGTGACCGCATTTTTCAAATATTGTACATTTTAATTCACCTCTGTTTCATTCCAATATTTCTTTGTAATTAAACTCAGTACACACATTCAACTCATGTTTTCTTAAAACCTAAACTTTAGCTTCATGAACTGTTGATTCAATGCAAAAGGAATGTCAGAAAATGACAGTGAAACGTAGGTACAATCAATAAAGGGTTCTTTGGGCTGTGGGGTTTGGGAACATCTAGAGATGTTGGGGTACTGTGTGATCTGATTTGTGAGGGGTCCTTTCTTTCTCTTCCATGTCTGACCTTCCATACACAGCAGCAGGGAGGAGCCCCTCAGGTGCTCCCGGTGTGGCTCCTGGACCCCTGTCTCCCTGCATGGACTCAGCGCCCTCTGCAAGGAGGCAGGAGGCCCCAGAGTCAGACAGGCCGCCTGGGAAATGGTCAGATAAACTCTTTTTCATTCTACATTTGCAAGAAACTTCATGATGGGGCCTGTGGATTCGGGCCACACTTGTGGGTGCTACTCACCTTGTAGCTGGCGGCCCTTGTACAGGTCCCGGGCTTTGGCTGGGTGGGCCCTGGCCGTGTTGTCACATTTCGGCTGCTCATACCTACGGGCCGGGGGAAGGCAGGGGAAGGAGAGAGAAAACAACGGCCTTGAGACGGGCTGTGGTTTGTCTTCCATTTCTGCAGTGTCCTACCCCAGCATACACCATGACCTGTGGCTCTCATGCTGCAACACCCATGACCTCACTCCCTTCCGTGGACATTTGGCAGAGAAAGCTATTCTTGCAGTCAGTAGGAAGAAGCACACTGTGACTTCAATCACACCGCAGGGCCGTCTCTCCATCGGTCTCTGAAAGGAACCTCACCTAGCAGCTGCCAAGTGCCCACACCTCCCCTCCTCCTACCGCAGGGCTGTACGGAGCAGCGTCCACACCTCCCCTCCTCCTACCGCAGGGCTGTACGGAGCAGCGTCCACACCTCCCCTCCTCCTACTGCAGCGTCCACACCTCCCCTCCTCCTACCGCAGGACTGTACGGAGCAGCGCCCACACCTCCCCTCCTCCTACCGCAGGGCTGTCGCCCACACCTCCCTCTCCCTGCCCCGCAGGAGTGTCACGGGCAGCGCTCACCTCCCCTCCTCCCTACCGCAGGGCTGTATGGGTGGCGGCTCACACCTCCCCTCCCTCCTACCGCCCAGGCTGTATGGGTAAGTGCTCACACCTCCCCTCCTCCTACCTTGGGGCTGTATGGAGCAAGCACTTGAGTTGTTTCGTAGGCTTGGGAGTGTGTGCCTGTGAAGAGCCACTTGGAAAGGTTTCTGAAGGACTTCCAGGTTAGATTCCTGTAGCACCAAGGCCAACTCATCTCCAGTCACCTCCTTGAAGCTACAAAAATTTGCCTCAGTGTTAAAAAAAAAAAAAGACTCTCTGGTCCCACTTAGCATCAATGGCAATGACTTGCAGGTGAAGTCTGGTGGGTGGGGCTGACATCCAGAGGGCAGGTGCCCTGGCTGCTGATCGCAGGGCTCATTAAGTCCCGTGGTTCTATGGAATTTGAGGTGAACCGGGCGCCTGTCCCTAAGGTGTCAGATCCAAATCGAGTAAGCAGCTCATAAATACTGACATATGGGTGCCATTCAGCAGCAGCCAGACCTGCTTTCCCTTTTGGGTTTTATCCTTGCCCTGGGTGTAGAGGCAAGGGACCCCCTCACGCAGACCACCAGCCTCATCCAGCGGAGGAGGTGGACATTAAATAGGGCCACCATGAGAACCTGCCTCCCAGGCCCCACCCCAAAGGAGGCCGATCTTCTGCACACAGAAGTCCCGTGGCTTTTCACCAGAAGTGTCTGGCATGACGCCGGGAGGGTGCGTTACTGAAGTGGGGAGAGGTCAGCACCCACTGCCCCAGGCTCGCAGGACCCCAGACAGCCACGCCAACCTTCTCGCTTCCCCTCCCACTCTGGCTGACCTCATGCTGGATGGCAGCTCCCAGCCCCCTCATCGCCAGGCACGTGGAATCATGGAGGCCTCCTCAGGCTAGCAGGTGACACACTGGGGAGACACACGTCCGCCGGCACCGTCATGGGTGAAGCAGTTAAAATCGGAAAGACTCCTTGGAAAATGAGGAAGATAAGCAGGAGGCCGGCAGGGTGTCGGAGAGATGTGCCGGCAGCGCTCACACCTCCCCTCCTCCTACCGCAGGGCTGTATGGAGCAGTGCTCACACCTCCCCTCCTCCTACCGCAGGGCTGTATGGAGCAAGCACTTGAGTTGTTTCATCAGAGCAGGAGTGTGTGCACGAGGACAGAGGGTGTGACCACTACCCCCACCCCGCCCAAGGAAAGGACACAAAGGACTTCAGGATTTAGATTCCTGTAGCACCAAAGGCCAACTCATCTCCAGTCCACCTCATGAAGCTACAAAAATTTGCCTCAGTGTTAAAAAAAAAAAAGACTCTCTGGTCCCACTTAGCATCAATGGCAAACTGCAGGTGAAGTCCTGAACAGGTCTTTCAGTCGATAGTGTGCAGGAAATGATCCCCTCACTCTGCTCTTCAGGGAGAATTCCTGAAGAAAGACTTCATGCAGCTTCTCACCTGGACCCATAGTCAAAGGCTGTAATGGGAAACTCTACCCTCCTGAGAAAACATGTAACACGAGGAGGAAAATATGAAAACACAACCAACCAGAAACAAGCACGCCAAACCAATGCCTGCATTCCTTCAAGAAAAGCTTTTCCTAAACACATACTCCTCTGCTTTCTTAGTTGTGTCCTTACGCTTTCGTGTTCGCAGCGCAGCCCGTGTCACCCTCATAGGAACATCATCTATCCTCCACCTACTCACATCTTTTCTACATTGTTAATCAATTAGTTCAAGCTCCGTTTTCTCTGGAAACACCATTTCCTATTCCCAGAGCCGAATCATTAATATCCCCTAAGTTTCTCGCTACTATGTGTACTCTACTTCAAAACCCAGCACACTGCCAAATGCTCTGAGGGGTCATCTCTGATGTTCCAAGGCCGGACTTTTCTGGGACAGATTTCTGCTGAGCTTTAGTTCACCTGCTTAAGAGGACCTGTCTCTTCGACCTCACACGCCTTTAGCAAGAAGCAGCCACGGAGGGAGCACTGTGTGCACCCTGAGTTGAGATGAACGGTGACGCTGCAAATATGTAAAGGATTCTTCAGATGCCCCACAACGTGACAGGCAGCCCCGAACTCCTGATCAATGAGGGTCCTCCTGAAGAACGGGACAGGAGCTCACGCACAGCGGAGCTCCCTCGAGGGCTGCCTCCACTAAGCCACCCACTTCGTGTTTCAAGCAAAAAGAATGCTTTGAAAGAGAACAAGTAAGTTGGCGAAAGGATTTACCGGGTCAGCTTCTATAAAATGACCAGAAACAGTTACACTTCAGCAGAGCTTTAAAAACAGACTATTCCCTAAACCGTGATGGAGCTCTGCATGAGACAGCAGCTCTGGGGATCAGCCCCGCACAGCTTTCCCAGCACATTCGTCTGTTCACAGGAGTCAGCTGGGCCATTCCAGCGCGCACGTCTTGCTTAATTAAAGGCCTGAACAGTCCAAATCCATTTCCCATTCTGATGACTCCCTTGGCTTCCCAGGCTGTACTTGAGGAGGGTGCTTTTAGACAGAAAAGGTGATATCTAGCTACGGGGATTCCTTCTTGTGGAAACTCAGGACAATGTGATTTGTGGACAGTAATCCCAACTGGATTAACATTTCCCAGATGACAAGAGACCAGCTGAATTAAATCCCTGGGGTCCAGAGCTCAGGCAGCCTGGCACCTGAACCAGCCTGTCCTGCGGCAATAGGTGCCCTGCCTGGGACCCAGAGCCTCTGACAGCCAGCGGCACTGGGAGAGCAGCAGGCCCACGAAAGAGGGCGATGAATGGGGTCTCCCGAGGCTGCCCTATCTTGGATCCCTTCCCCACGTGGGAAGAATCAAAAGACAGCACTGGGGGCATTTGTGTGATTTATGGACCTGTCAGAAAGACCCTGAAGCCAAGGCTTAAAGTGCTTGCAGCTTGAGTGGGAGGGGATACAGTGCAGCAGCTCCTTCCAGAGGACTATGATGTCACACATTGTGTGCATTAGCAACCCAGGAACAGCAAAGGCAGAAGCACAGCTGTTCTAGTGACTGTGTGAGGCCTCTCAGAGCTCGAGGGCAGCAAGCAGGGCTGTCAAGAGCATGTTTCCTCAGAGAAGAGAGCTGAAAAGAGCTGCTGAGTCCCCCCGCCTGCCCGCCAGCCAACTGACTGCCTCCTGCCCATGCCTCCCGTGGGCTGGTCCAAGGTTGGAAACTGTGTTCGGAGAAGAGTGGTCTCTGCAGCAGTGAATGGCCTGGATAAAGGTCGTTCTCTGGTGGGGCACTCACGCCTAAAAGCAGGGCCAAGGGACTGAAGGAAAGGCCTTCAGAGTCAGGCATCTATGGAGAGCGAGAGCAGGTAATGCTCTCTGCACAGTCCCACCGACTGCCCATATGTGCAGTTTAGTAATCTTGCAGCAGGCCCTCCAGAATCCTTGTTAAATAGACAGACAAGATAGACACGGGATCAGGAAAAGGAATTAGTCAAATAAAAGAAAATTTATGTTGGTTACATGCTGCTAGTTTTGCATTTTTAATTTAGACTATTTCTCCAAATTACATACTCCCAAGCTTCCTAATGTGAAAGCTGCTTAGTATCTACTACAGAGTGTCCGGAGACCTGGCCCACAGTCTTTAAACAGACTGTCACAAATCAAGCATTGAAACAGGAAACAGAAATCCAGTTCCATTTGGAACGAAGTGTTTCTACTTTAAAGCTCAGTGTTTACTTATATTTTTCCAGGTGATATTAATTTATGGCAGCATCATGTTCTCCCAGCCTCGGTTTTATTTGGGAGTAGCCACACAGAGGACAACGGGATGTTACTGTTTTGTTTTTAAGAACGTGTATGTCTTAACCAGGCCTCTTTGTCAACCTAAAAATATCAACAGAAAGAGAGGCTCTCTGAAGTGTGTGTTTATCTGGGAATGAATAAAGAATTGCAACCCCAGAATGCATAAAGCCATGGCAAACCTAGGGGGCCAAGCAGGTGTGCCTCCAGGAAGGCAGAGGAAGGCAAGGGCTTGGGGGTGGAGGGGGAAGGTGGCTGTGAAACATACCTCCTCGGCAAGGATGGATGGCAGAGTGGCGCTAGTCCAGGTTCAACAGGCAGTCGCTGGCTGATGTCCACACATGAAGGCTTCTCTGTGGGAGCCTGGTGCCTTTGTGCAAGGCTGTGGTTTTCCTACTCCAGTGTGTGTGAGGGCCCCTCCTGCAGGCCTTCTCCTCTGGCTTAGCTGGGCTTGCATAACTCCATTTGGATTCTGACAACTTTCAGCTTCTAGCAGAGGCACAGTGTGCGGCCCTTGCACGTGCCCTCACGGCTGTGCAGTACAGTCCACCCGTGTGCAGGCTGATTACAACCACATCTCAGGCACGGTGGCTCCTGCTGGGAGTACTGAATGCCTGCTGCCTCTCCCCTGGAGACGCCCAGGACCGAGGCTCAGAGCTAAAGGCCATTTGAATCTGCCAGTGACAAAGAAGAGCATGACTTACTGAGT